GATACTGTCAGGCTGTCGACGTCCGTACAATAGTCGTCGAAATTCCGGGGTCCCGTTCGAACTACTGGCCTTTTAATCAGTAGTCTTGCCTTCTGAGCTTTCTCAAGCTTAATGCAGTGAGCAATACTGGTAGACACTTCAGTAGCTACGGTCTTGGTTTCGCTGAATACCTCAACCTCGGTATTATTCTTTTTGTTCCAGCTTTCCTCAATGAACTCAAATGTTCTGGAAATTCAAATCGATTTGAAAAACCGTGCCGAAGCTGAGAAGAACACTTTCTTGCTGTGTTTGTGGTGATACATATACTCTTGCCTCTGCCCCATATGCCCTTTGTTCAGTTGACGCTCAGCTTGTGATATCATATTATGTCTATATCCACTAAGGTGTGAAACGCGTTCAGTTGGCCGTTTGTATGTTAGACTTTAATTACATGTTCTAAATATGTTCTGAATCGACGTTTGCTATTTGTCTACTTAAATCCTACGGTGAGCAAACGGTTTTCGCTCTCGTGTGTTCGTTTTTACTTTGTATCAATGCTGGTGGGTGTGGACGAATGAAGTATCAGCTGATCGACTTCACTACAACGACAGAACTCACCGAATTCCCGTTGTACTGCATACAAACTTTGGGACAGGACGAACTGACCGCCGATTAGTTTCATTATTTCCACGGGATCACTCACTCAACGGGAGTGATGGAGAGGGAAATTTCAACCCGTTTACTAAGTACGGTGCATTGAGAACGAATGTAGTCAGATAGATTGAGTGTTCTGCGTCTCCGGTTGGTTGGTGTAGCATTTGTGTAATCGGTTTCATCTTCACTGTGGAAATGCCGAAAAGAATCAACTGCGAACCTCGAATGTGTCTAGTGGAACATATGACGTGAAAGCCAGACCACATTTCAGTGGGGAGTCTAACACGCCGGCTAACATACAGGAGATTATGAAGTGATCCAAGGTGGGAATGCGACTCGAAAGTGTTCTTCGCCAGTGCCGTGGTGGCTGGATGGCGCCTATCCGAAATGGAAAGAACGTGCCAGCTGTCGCTCTCCGACCAGTTTATTCTCATTGCGGTCAGCTCAGTTAGCTTTTACCGTACTGATCGGATGTAGTGTTGCATCTTTCAGGCCAATCACTGTCATTTACAAGCATAACCCATGCAATTGTATCAACCAGTGTATGTACTGTGAGGCCCAGGTATTCCCCCACTGCCTTTATTCCTCACTCGGAACCAGTCACAGGATCTTATCAAGGTGATCTCTTCCGAAAAGGGCACCCCTGTTGAGAGGGGGGAGATTATCACTAGTTTTATGTGATAACTTGGTTTGTTTCAGGTCAGATTTTGTTTTCTAAGAAATCTGCTGCATCTGTTCGTACTTTCTATCTTTCCCCAACCCCTGATTTTACGCGAACTCTGATTGGTCGAAGCAAGAACTGTGGGAATTTCCCCGTAGTCATTAGTTTGCTGTTAATTGCCGTGTCAGATTGAGCCGTTTGACTGATCCTCCTCAGCTCTGTAAAAAAACTCTAGTTCAAATAGCATAAAAATCCTGTTAGGACAAACCTGTCATGCTGGCTGCTGATCAGGTGGCAGTTGGTCTGTTCGCCGAACTTAGCCATCGGCTTGCAATGGTTTCATCATCATGTAAGGAGGCATCGTCAGTGCTCGGTTGGGTTGGTCAGCCCAAGTTATGTTATAAAAAACTGCAAATATATTTGTGTTATCCATCATTAATTGACGTAAAGTGATGCGCCATTTTTGAAATTTCTGCTTGACATCTGACCGCCGTGTCTACTAAGGTGTGCTGTGACGCAATGCTGGCACCATCGCTACGGTTCACTTAGTTTAGGTATGTTGATCTCTATTGCCCCAACTTCTAAGCATGAGCTGAATTCTCACTGGAATATGCGTGTGCCATCGCAATAGATTTGATGGTTCGATTCGAGTGCGTGGGGTGCAATGGCGGAGTCGCTTTCAAGATTCAAGACTCAGTCAATTTCGTGGAGGAAATCGGGCACACCACGTGAATCGCACCTGGCTGTCCGGTCAATGTATTTGGCTGGGTTGGGTTTTCGTCCCCCTGTCCCACCATTCCGGGTGTTGTCCTCCCCATTTGTTGTATAATGAAGCGTGCTTTTTCCTTACTGAGTCGTTTCAGTTAATCTGCTCGCATCGAACTATACGAGTATAGCTTGTTGACACGGCTAACTATAAGGATCCGACAACTGCCAGTCTGGCGTAGTGTGGATTCGATGACCCATCTGAGTGGATGCTTTTCCTGTAAATTCCCGTCGAGAATCCATGGCTAATTCGTCCAAACGTAGCGTTATTCGTTACGTTTGGAGCGTGTTCAACCCCGATTCTCCCCTCGAATACTATTAAGCTCATATGCTATCATGAAGCTCGGAGTGGCATTCGGACACAGACATCCACCCTACGTTTACCAGAGCGACCCAATATATATGGAGTAAGACACACATATTTCACGAATTTAAGTTCAGGAGACGATGTGTGAAAGTTCTGCAACTTCTGATGGAATACTGAGCTGTGAAACAATTTCTGAGAGGAAAACAACCGGCTGCTGTATGCACTCATGAGCAGCAAGACAACCAAACACATGAATCAGTAGTTTATTGGGAAGTGAAGTTGAGCACAAACGAGATTGGTGCAGGATGTCACCGCAAACAAAGACAGATGTGCCTGAAAGTGCAAGATATTCCGGTACATACATTTCCGTTACCAACCTTTCGATACTAGATTAGTTGGCAGTCGTTGAGAGACTAAAATTAGTTGGGCACAACGACTCTTCCGCTCAGCCTGGCTCTCGTTGTTCACCGTTGAGGGTCAGCGTCATCTTGTTCTCCCGAATGTTTGTCTCAGAACTTATTTGGCTACAACATCCGCCAAACACCTGAGCACTTATTGGGCTTCTAAGTTCACGATAGTGGTGACTGCCCTTATTGCTGACAGTTAGGCTCACGCCATAAGCTACATCTTACGAATAAATCCATTACACAAGAGACACAGGATCACATTTTACATGAAAATCCAAGTGTCAGTCCTATTGGACACTGGCAGCTCACAGAAGCTAGCTAGAAGTCAAGTGGAGTACAAAATGGTGTTTTGGTTTCCCAATTTGTAGCAGCACTGAGGCCGGAATTGTCGAATTATTCCGGCCCATTTTTGAGGGCAGCCTATAGCACACTGTATCGTGTGGCATGGCGTCATTTTTTCAGTTTATTTTCAGATTTTTCGAACAGAGTGTAGTCATTTCGGATTATTTGTGGTAAGATGGCACTAGATCCCTGTTCCATCCCGATTTTTTCTGTTTTTTTTCCACAATATCGTTGCAAGGAAACCGAACACTGGTGTTGTACTGTCGAAAATTATTATATATATGTACATATATATAAGTATATCGCATCAAAACGACTGTGGTATCTTTCACAATTTTCGTTCAAGCGGTCTTAAATATCAGCTCCTCGGTCGATATAGCTTGAGAGGGCTAGCGTAGTCACCAAACATAAACGGTTTTCTGATTTTCAAATGTTCCTCTTCGAAATGTCACTCGTTTGTCACTCGTTTGCTGAATGGGGTGGTATAGGGCAAGGGAATTATAGCAGCATGCCCCCGCATTTCTGAGTGCAACTCATAAGTGATACCCTATCTATTAGTGTAACGGTGATACTACTGATGGGGAAGGCATGTGAGTAGTATGTTATCTTCGTGTACATTAGCTTTGCGTCTCTTGAAAAGTGAAATCTATTGCGAAATTTGTGGAGTCTCTATTTAGCTTTGTAGCATTTGCTTGGATTTGAGCGACAGTCAATGAATATCCAGGAAGGTTCAGGAAGACGCGTTTAAAGAGAAGATGGATATTCAGTTTTTGTAAACAAGACGCATTTGAGAGTTTTGCTTCCCTGTCCAATAGACTGTAACTGTTCGGTTGGCATTTTCTAATAAATAACTCCAAGGTTAGTACAATCTGGCTGTTGTTTGTGAGCCCTTTTTTAATCCCCCGTTTAAAAGTGGTACTATGCGGGCCGTTTCTTCGTGTGAAGAGTCCTGTCAAATGAAATGAAGTAACTTCTGCAGGCAGAATCGAGTGAACTTAATGGGGATTACACCCACGTCATAGGCTTTTTGATAGGATTTCTTTTATTGTGAGGTGGCCAAAATATGAATGTTGTCGAAAAACGAACGCTAGGATAATAAGAATAGGAACAAATGTATTTGTACTGTCAATGGTTTTCCTCAGCTATGCCGTAAGGTTAGTTCTCACTAAACAGAATGACTTGGTGATTGACAGAACTGAAAAGAGAACAGTACCTTGCCAATTCATCATGAAGAATTCATCAAGGTTAAATTATCACTGGAAAAAGACACCCTAGAATAACTCACCGCCTGAGAATTTGTCGTTAGGCCATCCCACAGATAAACTGGTCATGAAAATGTTTGAAACCTCTGAAGTTAGTGATTTATGTGACGTTTCAGTTAGGTTATCGGCGTCTCCAAAGGCGATTAGCTATTTCGAGGGTCCCCAGTGGAAGTATTCCTACGAAAGTTTCCTACTCTACCTTGGGATAGAAAGGCGACTGGAATAAAACTGGTGGCTCGTGGTAACTATGGTTGGAGTGGGAGTTGCACTCGTCTCCAAGGCTGTAAGCGACTTATTGGACAGAATCCCAGTAGTCATCTGCGCTGTGGGACCATAATGTACTACTCATAAGGTTCATGAAAACTCGTTGACAACTCACGACCGGTTTCGCCCTTCTCGGGGCTCATCAGGTAAGCACATTCCCCGGATTTCCGTCAACCTTTTGTTCTAATTGCAACCAAATGGCACGAAATTAGCGTACCACACTCATTTGTGAACCAATTTGATTTTTCGAGAGACTCACCCGGAACCCAGCAGGTCAATGCGGCAAACGGTGTTTACTTGTCGTATTAGCGCATGCCAGAGTGCAGGTCTGGGACCGACAAGGACGATTTTTTTATCAGGATCTGTCACGACTGCTTCGGTCGGCAAGAAGGATACGAGTGCTCAAGTTGGACGACTAAATCCGGAAGAAGCACAGTTAGGTGGTAGATTTGGAGTCGATACTCAGCGTTCGGATAGTGGAAAGCGACTTCTTCAGTGTCTGTTTCTGGTCAGTACAAACCTCCAACACGAACGCTCCAATCGAGTTACTTATAGACCACCTGCCACTAGACGGTTTTGGACTCAGTTGGACCACGTGACTATCAATTACCGATGGAATCGTCAATTAAAGATTGTCGTTCCTTCTGGTATGCTCAAATCGACTCTGATCACGCCCGATTATCATTCCGCTCTCCGTCAGCACTAAGCGTGCCAAAGGAGAGCAGCTCCGTTAATCAAAAACTGATTGACTGAAACTGGTCATAGGCGTGTAATGTGCGGAGGATGCTCTTGATTTTTGACACTGAACCCAGGTTTTAAGCAGACGGCGTCCGTAGGCCACATGGGGATGCTTGGCGATTTCCACGGCCTCGGCCACCAGTCGCTGTGGTGTGAATCTTAAACCCCGTCTCAAGATGTCCATATTTTCTAAATCTATCCTATGCCCAGTGTTTAGTGCATGCCCTGCCATTGCCGAATCTGTGACTATCGCCTGGGGTAGTGTACCCGAAATCTGTGAACGACCCCAAGAGGAATCTTCCAATAAGGTGCGCTAGACTGAAAAAGGAAGGACGAAAAACCCGGGTTCAGCATGAAGGCAAATCCCTCCTAACCAGTCTATCGTAAATGTCAGTCATCCCCACTAACCAACAAACCGGAACATCAAACTGAACACCCAGCACTGATCAAATGGGCTAGCCATAAGAAATCTCACGGATTGGTTCCCTGACTGCCTTAAAACCCAATGAACCTACTTACTTACCCACTTGGCCTGATGAAGCTTTTGTGTCAGAGGCGAAACGTTGCCCAGCAACAAATCCATCGATGGTTTACCAAACCTCTCTGAAACGATGACTGTCCAATCGGTCCCAAACATTTTCCAATTGATAGTGCCAGTTTACTTCTGCCAGGACGGTGGTTAGAAAAGCCTGCCACGTTTACTTCCAAAACACATTGGTTTCACCTAGCACTCTATTTATCGATCGGTTTTCCCGATGAGATACCACTTAAAGCAATTATAAACAAGCTACCACCATCGGCTCTACCCCAGACTTACCTGTCCGAAGCCTGTCCATCTACCTCAGATTCCCATAAACCTCTAACCAGCTAGAAAGCAGAAACTAATGCGTGTTAGATTGAAACGGCGGCTTCACATGTTGAATCAGCCATGTGCCACTTTGTCCGGATGCCAGCCGCCCTAATAACCGAACATCACATCATGCGGACAGATGTGTCACGTGCAGGACACGGACCAGACGAAGGCATGCCCTGATTGGTCAGAATGCCAGCCAATCTGGATCGAGCATCTTAAACTCGACGCTTCTCGCCCCCTCACGGAAATCCTAGCACGAACTTGTGGAACACCCTGTGATTACCTCATAGAGCTGTAATGATTTTCCTTTGTCTGTGGAGCAGGAAGCCAAGGGACCGATACAGAGTTGCACGACCGTCTAACAAGATACAACACACCTTTTAACCTTTTAACCAAAGCTGTTCCCATATTCTCTTATCCGTTAAATTAAATTCACAATCCCATTGACATATGGTTTCTTGTGAGGTCAGCCCATCCTGCGTGTGAAAGATACAAGACACTTGGACACAACCGGTATGATCCGAAAGTAAAACGTGAAGCCAAACAGTTTTCGGCCTCTTGACGGTCAAGTTAAGGAAACCATATAGACTGGGGTAGGTGACAAGACCAACCAAAAGCAGAGTGGCACTCAGAGTTTGCACAGATTAAGAGAGTCGGGTGCGTAAACACAAAGTCGGTCCATGACACATACGTGAATTGTGATCGGTAATTTGTGACAAAAGCCGCCAGATGAAAAAAGCGTGTGGGCAAATTTCGTCACGAAAAATGCAATTCCAGAGTTGGGAAACCGGTGCTTTGACTAGATTGTTTAGCATAGGCTCATTCGTTCTCCCTCTTGCTTTCTCCGGATGCTTCCTCATAGTCCTTAACCAGCGAAGTCATGTTAATTAGGGCGTCGTTGAATTCCGACTCTTCCATACCTTCACCAATGAACCAATGAACAAATGATCGTTTGGAATACAACAAATAGAACTTGTGAGTCAGTCGTTGCCAGGCCTGTCCCACGGAAGAGTTGTTTGCCAACATTACCACATTCTTATCACACTGAGCCACCCGACTATCTGGAACCGAGACCGGAGGCGAAGATGTGAGGCCTACTTTGAACCCAGTTGGACACCAGTCCACAAATTCTATGCATCGGGATGACTTCAGTTCTGTCAGGGCTTGATAGACATGGCTTGGACTCACATCACCACGATAGAGTAGAGTACATGACATGAACTTTCCGTACGTTGGATCAACCTTGACCATTTGATTTTCACGATCAAACACAGCAAGGGTAAGCTCTCTGGTAGTTAGGGTCTCATGCTCGGCTTTCTCCCAGGAAATACATGGAGCGAAATTACTCAGAGGGAAGTGGATGCGTGGATAGGGGACCAGATTGGTCTGAATCACATTGATGTCGCCGTTGAGGATGTTTGGGAAACGGAGGGAGGCTGTGATTGCACTTGTGGCTTGCGCGATCAATCGGTTGATTGACGTGTATGTAGTAACTGTCAGGCCTAAATATCGACCGCAAATGTCGTAAAGCGCTTCATTGTCCATTAGTAGTCCCAACTGAATATCTTCCATGGCAAAATGTTCCCCCAGGAGGCTGTTGTACGGTTCTACCAAAGAGTTGGATAAAGACGGGGATGGATAGACCGGGATTTCGATTTTGGTAAGTTTATGGAAGTCAGGCATGACATCCAAAAGGGCTGCTGTTAAACCGGCCCCCGTGCCCCCGCCAAGGCTCCTATACAATATGATGCCTTGCGGTGCCTCACAGCTTTCCAAGGATCGTCGAATCTCGCTGAGGATAGGGGCTATGAGTAACTTTCCGATGGTAAAAAAGCCTCGAGCAAAGTTATTTGCTGCATCCTCGTAGCCAGTGATCAGGCGATCTGGGTGGTAAAGTTTTCTCCACGGACCGACGCGAATTTCATCTGCACGCAAACCACAGAAAAAGTAAGAATCATCGAGACACAAATCCAAATGGCATTATAATAGGCTGATTCACCGAATAACAGGTATACTCTGGGACAGAAGTTGGAAACAAACTTCATAATGAAGAACGGAAACCACGAGGATTTAAGCCTAGTGTAGTGTTGATAGATACGTAAAGAAAAGGTTATACAGTGTCGTTCTACATGAGATACATTGGTCAACCCTTACAAACCCATCCCTGAAGAAGGGATTTTATCAGGATACAGTTTACCACCTTGTTTCCCATCTCTCGTGGTAAAAGGGAGGCGCATTTTCCCAATCCAGAGAGCAAATACATTCAAGGAAGATAGGGGCTATGAGTAACTTTCCGATGGTAAAGAAGCCTCGAGCAAAGTTATTTGCTGCATCCTCGTAGCCAGTGATCAGGCGATCTGGGTGGTAAAGTTTTCTCCACGGACCGACACGAATTTCATCTGCATGCAAACCACAGAAAAAGTAAGAATCATCGAGATACGAATCCAAATGGCATTATAATAGGCTGATTCACCGAATAACAGGTATACCCTGAGACAGAAGTTGGAAACAGATACAGTTGGAAACAGCATAAAGGACGGAAACCACGAAGATTTAAGCCCATTGTAGTGTTTATAGACACGTAAAGAAAAGGTTATACTGTGTCGTGAGATACATTGGTTCCCCCTTACAAACCCATCCCTGAAGAAGGGATTTTATCAGGATACAGTTTACCACCTTGTTTCCCATCTCTCGTGGTAAAAGGGAGGCGCATTTTCCCAATCCAGAGAGCAAATACATTCAAGGAAGAAATGGTTTTGATCATCAGAAGGGAGACACATTGTGCTAAAATATCCGGTCTGAACAGTCGTGTTGTCGTTCATGAACTTTACTCCAAGAGGTCACATGACTCACCCTATCTCATCGATCTTAGATTAACAAATTATATCATTTCGCTGAAGCGATTCGCAGATTCTGCCACTGACATTTTTATCGATAACTGATGATTTGAAGAATAAACCACAAGTGAGAAAGCAGATTGTTCAGCTCCAGAAGGCAAAAATTCAAAAATCTTATTTGAAATCCAAAAGTCTAACTGTTAATAATAATGTGGGAAACGATTTGAGATAAAGCTATCTAATCCCATCAATTACAGTAAATAAGCCCCCTAATCAGCGACCAGTTTTGCTTGTTTCGTGTGCATAATTCACTAGGCAAACGTGTCCGGATTAGACCACGTGCCCCCCCCCCCCCCCCCCCCCCCCTAAT